TATGTTGGTATTGGTGACCCGTGCTGTTTGTTTGTTGTTTTTTTTTGATGACCGGCCAACCCCCTAACTTAACCACCTCTCCACACACCACCCTCTCCCAAACTAAAAACAAAAAAAAGTAAAACCAAAAGTTAAATTAGAAAGGGCTTGGGCCCTGGTTCACCCAAAGAAAAAGCAACCACCCCCACCCTCCCCCCCCCCCCCCCCCCCCCCAACTTACAAGGGAGCTTGGACAAGGACGTTTTAGAGCGACGCTCGTCAACCGAAAGTGTTTTTTTTCGCATTCTTTGGCAGTGGATTTGCTCGCATTTTCGAGCAAATCGTCTCTATAAGAGTAAAGGAAGCTAGCAAAACAAATTTGACAGGAGAGAAGTTCACTTCCGGTTGTGGTGGGTCGCTCAAAAACGTCGCTACTTAAGCTCCCCACTAGTAATGTAAGGGGGTATCCTATTTGCTCGTTTTGATGTACACCAAGTGCAACTCTCCTCGGTCACATGGGAGGCTTGAGGCAGGAAAAAAGAAAGATGGCGGGGTACGATGGAAACTTTCTATCTTTCCATTGTCCCCATTTCGCTTGCCATTGCTAATTATTTTTATTTCATTGCAATACTCAATGGGAGCCTCTTCGGGAAGAAGTCAGAAGAAGCGAACTTGTTTTGTTAGACGGGTAAAACACGCGCGCTCTCGTGAATATCACACACTCGCGTACTTCATGCGTTTACTATCCCTAAGTGAGCAAAAACTAAATATCACCATCAGGTATCATTAGTCCCTTTCTATTCCTCTCAGGCCCCGATTGTGATGAAAATACAATTACTCCTTGCATTATAAGTGATAGTTCAGTCAGGTAGGTCAGAAGAAATGAAATGATATTTCGCTAACTTTTCAATGACTTTGTAATTAACGTAAGAAACGGGAAAACGGAATTTCAAATGCCAATAATCTTATTCCCAGCCTCACTGGTTACAGCATCTTCGAATCTAACCTCGAGGCTTTTGGATTAGACTAAGAGTAGTCGCTTAATCATAACTATAACAAAATTCTTAAATCTGATTGGCTATCAACTGCTCTGATTTCAGCCTTAATAGGACAGTTAAATAGGACGGTACGCGTCATGCCTAAGTAATTGGACAGTACGCGCCATCACGCGCGCGCTTAAATGGCTTTTTTTTTCACTGCTAGCAAAAAACCTCTCGGAATTTCTCGTGTTTTGATTAAAAAAAGAGCCTAATATATCACAAATTTTGTTAAAGTTATGATTAATTGGTAACAGAACTTCGTGTCGTCCAATTCGGTCTGTAATCATACTCGTGATAATACAAATCGGACTTGTTAATCACTCGTATGATTACAGACCGAATTGGACACCACGCAGTCCTGTTACCATTACTTATTTTCGTCACATGAGCGCTGACCCAGGGTTACATTTTAATCCGGATTTCTCCATAACTTTCTCTATTCTAGTTACAGCGCATCCTCCTATCAATAAAATAGTAGACAAAAGGAATTGAACTGAATTTGATATTTAAGCTTTCATATCTGAATTCAAATTTCAGACTAATCATGGGTTAACCAACGATCAAAATTTGAATTTTCATTTGTTGCCCCTCTTCATTCCCTACAGAAGTAGTGGGGAGAAGTTGATAAAATATCAAGAAAATTGATCTTGTGTGATAATGTCTGTAATTCTCATGACCACTCTGTTTTACAAAGCATTGACATTACAAGGAGAAAATGGATACTGATCACTCTTAAGGCTTAAAGAGTTAAGCCAGTTTTAAACAATCCGGCTCGAAACAGAGCCAGAGAAATACACAAGCGCGGGTTTAAATCGCCTCGCGCGTGGACAGGCGCGATGTCCACGAGGAAGGGACAGTTTCCATCTGGACATCGATATAACACTGGTATTTAGCTCACTCCCAAACAAAGCTTCCGTCTAAAAACTTTCATAAAAACCCAAATTTCATTTGGCAAAAATAACAAGCCACAACGCATAAAAAGTATTGCTTCAAAGGGAAATATAACTGATTTCTTTTTTACTAATATTTACAATTTTCGCTGTCATCCATGGAAACAAAAAATAGAAATTTGACTAAATGAGGAGCATTTCTATTTGGGAGTAAAAGCAATGTCCACTTGACTAATTTAATTAATTACATACTTAATTAATCTCTTACTTAATTAATCTCTGTAGATTTCCTTTAACAGGAAAAGAGCAGTATCTTCCGAGACCCTGCAAAAAAAGAAAAAAATCAACTTGAGAATTTTTAACATGTCAGAGTGCTGAATCTATTAGAGAGACAATGTGTTATTTGCCAACAGGGACGTTTAATTATTATTATTATTCATTCAAAATAGTTCCCCGATTCTGATTGGCTAAAAGCACACCCATAATTCATCATAACCAGGTACTGATGACCAAATTTGGAAGAATTTTTGCGTTTAATGAACCGATGACGTCAAAAGTGCAGCTTTCTTACAGGTTAATGCACCGTTAACCGAGAAGACCTGGAGATGAGGTTCAGTTGTTTTGGTTGTAACAACAAAAATGGCGGACATTTCACTCGTTTCAAGAGTAAGAACCAGGCGAAATAATGGCTTAAAACATGGCAAGAACAGCAAGAAGATAACTCGAAGGGCGACATCTTCTATTTGGAAAATATTTGCGGAGCTGAACAACCCTAAACGTGCACTATCGAAGATGTACTTAACATCGATGGATCGATGGAGGTAAGCATGTTTAAACAAGGAATTAATTCGAATGAATAATAAAAAAATTATTGAATTCGGCTTTCATATCATATGAAGAATTATGGAGATCTCCTACGGCCTCGACGGATAACACCCTCCTCGATCTCCATAATTCTTCAAAAGTTACTCAGCCTCATTCATTAATTCAATAATACATTAATCAGGCTTTACTAAGCTTGTACAGTTTTATTTTGTTTCTTGGAAAAGCCTAAAAGCTTGAAGGTTTTGATTATAATTAGCAGTTCTAGTGAAGGCTGTTTGACAATTAATATATTCTATTAAAAGGATTGTATCGCGACCTACCAATAGCAAACGTGACTGCTGAGTGCAAACAAATATTCATTCAAACTTTCAATTGGTTTTTCTTGAAGTACGTAGTCAATCCGTTGACCGCCATTTAGGCGGCCCAC